GGCCATCATTAGAATATTATTTTGGTGGTGGCCGCCTACTCTCTCCCTCTCAGTTCTGGTGGGTCATGAGGAAAGTTGTTTCTGCTTTCAAACCGAAAGATTTGATTGCACCTCCTGACATTTTCGTCAGTGAGGAATAACGTTTCTTTCAAGACTACACGGGAATGAGGGGTTGGTTAGAGAGTTGGTTAGGGTATTTAAAATGGTGGTTGTTTTATTTCAGACTGGTTAATAACTATCTGGATTATAACAATCCCTCTGTCAGAGACCAGATAAACCGGGTATCAATTGATGATGTATGGGCAGCTCCTATAGTTTCCAATTCTTGGAGACTATCTAATAGAGATGTTGTATCTATTAGGTATTCCCTATTACAGAGGATAAAGGAACTGTTAGATCAACTGCCCCCCTTCCTAGAAATAGGTAGTGGTGGATGTCTAGAGATGCATGTAGATTCACCTTATTGGTGTGTCTGCACACATCCCTCTTACATGTTAGTTGGTACAGGAGACAATGCCTTCTTAGTGAGTTCAAAGGGGTTGGTTATCCCTTTGATGATTAGGTGTACTGGTTGTATCTGTCGAAAGAAGGTGCAATCAGTTAAGCCTAGTCTTTTGTCCAGACTATAAGACTAGTGGCGTCGCTAAAGAGCTTCTTTCGCTTTTCCTGTACCTGACTCGGGTTTATAAACGTTCTTTGGCGTAGTCTTTTTCCTCAACCAGGACTGGCAGCTTCCACAACTCTTTCAAAGCTAGGTGTAGGTAGCAAAGCTTGGAGTGGACTGAACCTTTGTTCGTGCTGGAGGGCGCCATTGAGGCCTTAAAGTTTTCCACTGGAAATGTCTCCATGCCAAGCTTCATGCCTTTTTGTTTTGAACGACTTTCTAACAAGCTGTTGAACTTACCGCCCCGGGATTGGGACTTTTTTTCCATAGGAAGTAGTCCAATCTTTTTCACAATAAGATAAGCCAATCCTGGAAGAATAACACAGGAAGGATCAGCACTATCAGCCAGGATAGATATTAGACAGAACAGACTTTCCGAATATAGTAAGATGAAAATGAAAGGCAAGCAGGAATAAGAAGAAGACTAGCAGAGAGGGTGACGAAGGAACTAAGACTAAGGCAGCGGGTGACGTAAGGGTGAGGCAAGGAACTGGATGATAAAACTGATGCTTCTACGCCGGAGAAGAGAGAGAAAGCTATAGGGAATGATTTCGGAATGGTGCTAGACCTTCACTTCAACCCTCGCTTTTTTTGAATAGGGAATAGGAGAATCCGCAGACACAAGCGGATACACATGAACTACCCCACGAAAACATCCTGTATTGAGGTATAAAGTTTCAGGCAAAAAGCATTCAACTTCACTTAAAAAAATTCTTATCTTAAGACGGAATTGGAAGACTTCGACGGCTTACGTAATAGCCTACTTTCAAAACGGATTTCGATCGGTAGGGTAGGAATAGACGGGCTAAGAGATTGAACCACCTAAAGCAATTGACCAGGAGAGAATGGACAGAGAGGAATGCCCCCAAAAGGGCTTGCCTCTTACATAGCAAGAGGAAAAGAAAGAACATAGGTAGGGTAGGGGAAGACACCTGAAAGCAAAGGGACCTTAGATGATAGCTAACTTAGAGACATACTACATAGATTAGGATGGCTGACAAGATGAGACGATTTCCTCGATGACACCAGTCGATGACACTGACTCTCATCGTTCTCAAATAAAAGGCAAGTTAACCTTAAAATAAAAACTCGGAGATGAGGCTACAAGCAACAAAGACAAAAGCATTGAAACTTAGCCGATTAGAAGGCTAGGCCAAGGGAAGGGTCCTATACCTGAAAGCACACTCATTCGCGAAAGCAATAAAGCGAAAGAAGGAATTCAAGTTAGAGGATTTAAATGCGGGCTAGGATCTCGAAGCTCTCTAGACTCCATTTCCGACTTTTGTACCATTAGAACACGAGCAAGAATTGAGCCGGGCGAGGAGTTTTCCGACTGGTAGGACTGCCTCTAAGGCTGCTTTGAAGGATAGCAAAATAAGCCAATGCGCATCCAAAAGCAACCCCTTACCCTCGCTACAAGACTTGGGAGGCTGGAAAGATAGGAAAGCTTCCAAGGTGAATCGAAAGCTTCGAAAGGAGGAAAGCACACACAGCCTTTTAACTCGAGAAAATAGACATTGAGACAGAAGTAATGGAAGACTTGGAATGAAGTCTCCCCATAGATCGATGCTTCTTTACTTCCTTAATGAATGCAATTCCCCCTTCATCACTCTCTATCTCCGGACCTTTTCCTCATGGAACGAGAAGACCGATGCCACTATCGCCTCTTGGCTTTGCTTTAATATAATCTATTCGATTCAAAGAGAAGCGCACCTTGACTCATGCACTCCTAAACTCCTTAAATCAGGAACTGGTTTGAAAGCTTCACTCATGAGCTATCTTACTAAAGGAATTCCAGTTTCCTAAACAGCCGTCGGAAACTGGCGAGAAAATAGAAGTGTGCCTTTTAATTAAACTAATGGCCTCCCTTTGATTGCTTACTTCGCTAGTTATCTCAACGCTTCTTTTCTCTGGCTTGCTCTTCCAAATTCCATTTTGGCCTGCGGTAATGTAATCAGTTATCTCCAAAATGATTTTTTTTGACTTTTTTAAAAGGGGAATGAGGGCCTTCCTTAGAAGTTGTCGCTCGATCGAAAGGATATAACACATACGAAACCTTAGCTTCGCTGACTTTCTGAGGTATATTCGCCACGACATTAGTGGCTTAGCTCTTCGCGCTTCCCGCAGGCTTTTTTTTATAGAGAAGAGAGTAAGGGGGGGTGCGGAAGATTGGTCCGCTCCGCGAGCTTTTCGGTTCGCTCCCCCTATGCGGTCGGCCTTCTTACCAGTCTGCCTCCTTTCTCTTGATGGAATATAACAATGCCCGAGCTCCAGCTTTGCTTGCGTTCTTCACCGGCGCTCTCCGGATGTATCACTCATCCCGCTCCTAAGGTAAGGAGTCTTCTGTGTGTTATAATCTTTACGGGAATGAATCGCATATGTTGGTTGAGAGTTGCTCGGGAATTCTTTGATAGTTACTTTGCGGGGGGCTACTCTTCTTTTTTGTCGATCGAGCCGCTCCCCCTCATTCCACTCGTCCAGCCCTCTTCACGAACTTGTACAATCGATGCCACAAAGATAGTCAACTCTATTATCAAAGAAATAAGGAAACGGGCGACGATTTGGCACCAGATATCCGGAGGTGTGGAAAGAGCAGCTGTGAGAAGCGAAAAAACCATCAAAAAACGACGATTGTTCGTGAAGGTTTCCACAGAAAGACCCCTTGGTTCTGGCAAACGGATCACAATTACAGGTACCTGGGAGCATACCGATGGAATGAACGAAATACGAACAGTTAACATAATATGGTCATAGATCTTAGGTTGTAACTTGATCATGAGCGAATTTGTTGATGTTGCACCCACGAAGTATGGATAGTGCCAAACATTGGGAACTACCCGGGGAGGAGTTAGGAACAGGAACAAGGAGAAGCGAGAACCACTTAAATAGAGGAATCGATTGTATTTCGTCCTTTGTTCCCCATAGCAACTGGGGATCAAAAAGCACCAAATTTGATAACTTATTAAAGGAAAGACGAAGTAAGAGCATGCTATTGAAGACGTTGCAACATATGTCGAGAAGGCCTCCGTTAATTGTGTACGAACAAAATACGAGTCCAAAGGCAGGGTAAGAAAGGGTTTAGCTAATGGAGATATTAACTCTTCCGGGAACCAGTAACGCGTAAACCATGTCAAACCAAGACCGATCAATATCCGAACGGAACGGATTCGAACTTCTCCTAGAATAGTTTCCGGTGCGAAATGAAATTCATAGGATATATATATGAGTAATTCAAAGGAGAAATCAAAATATTTGATAGGATTCGATTCATTTTAGTAATAAAAAAAAAACAAATAGGATTGATTATGTATCAAAATTTCATCACTACATCGAAGGCTTTTTTGTAAATATATTGCTATCTCCAGATCGCCGACGTGAGGTATTCATGATCGAGCTAACGTTCGCAAGCAAAGGTGGGCACGAGATCCCAACCCAAAAACGTGTAGGCAAGATAACCTTTATCAGGGGCTTCTTATTGAAGAACTTGAATCTCAACCTTCCATCTCCTGCTTGGTATCGAAGCAAAAGGAAAGGATATCTGACCGAGAGGTGGAGGTCCCTAGGCTACGTCAAGTCCAAGGTGCCTTCCAATGGTTGGCTATACGGTCAGCCCTCTAGGCGAGTCTTTATGGGCATTACTGAGAAGTAGGGGTCTTTGGCATAGATCGGTGTAAACCAGTAAAAAAGAAAGATGCCACGAAAACAAAGTTCTCCCATCTTTTCCCCTTCCCTAGACTAGTTATCCTCTACCAGTAGGAATTCCATCAGGGGAAAGTGAACGGCCGCCTATCCTTCTCTATTGACTTGGAGGGCCTCACCTAGAACTCAGTCCCGAGATAAGTAGTCACATAAGTCAAAGCCGGGTATGATGCCTAACCAATTAAGAGAAAAAAATTGGCATTTCTGGCCCACTAGTTTTTTGAGGAGTTTGAGTCGATCCGTTGGGGTTTCAGACTAAGAGGACCAGGGTTGGAGTTGAAGACTATAAGAGGCCGAAAACAGGTATTGATGTCGCCCAAGGGGCCAAAACTACTAAGATCTTTGTTTGATGCTTTCCAATAGACTGAAAATCAGAAAAAGAAGAAAGAAGGAGAAGAGGCGGTACTAGCCTTTCTTTATATGAGATTATTTACTCTCAGAGGTAAGCAGCAGGGTTATCCTCTAGCTGACTTTGGCTGCAAAAGAGTTTCGTTTTCCCACCCAGAATAGTCATATAACGAGTAGCCCACACGTAAGATTATGCGAACGAGGGTACTACAGGAAGTAGTCACGGGAGTCAAAGCCGGCCAGGTATGCCTTTCCTTCCGACGGACGTTATCAACTCAATCTTTCTCTCTGGCCCAACAAGTAGAAGGCTTTACACAAAGTTACCTTTCAATTTCAATAAAAAACGGTTCCTTTTAAGCCTCTCCCTATAAGAGGAGGGTTGGGATACCCGATTTTGAATTCCTTTATTCGGCTGTCGAAAATAAGAGGCCGAAGCTTACTCAGATTCTGCCAACGAGCAAACTTCCATCACCAAAGCGGAAGGTTTTTTTTAGGACTTCAAAGTAGAGGCCGCGAAGTCAGATGATGTTCGAGTGGAGGAGTACGGAAAGGCGGAAAGCTAAAAAGCTAGAGAATAGGGAGCGGCACTGGCCTTATCCTTTCACTTTAAGAGTGCCGGCTGAAGATTTGATTATGTATGAAAAAGAAGCTCCGTCACTGCTCTTACTGTAGCTCTGACTGTCTTTCAATTGAAAGTCGGATTGTGCTCCTAGAATGGGTAAACTTGCCGCAGGAATGGTTAAAGACAAGGCCTTGCCTACTCTCTTGGCATCCGGGCGATCTTAGCCGAGGATACGGCAACAGCTGAGATCAAAATAACCAAAACAGCAAGATAAACAACCAAAGAACTAGATAGCACAGAAGCATAGACCGTTGATTAAAGCAAGAAAAGAAAGCCCTTAATAGCTCTCCTAGCTGCTTAGAGCAGCAAACCAGAGGAAGTGCGAACGGAGAGTGGAGTAGGGGAGAGCAAGTGGATTATCCTCCGTTATAAGACGTTATAAAGCTTAGTAGAGTGCTTGGTCTCCTAGCTTGCCTGCCAGTGAGAGTAATGCCTTCCAGTTTGTCTTTCACTCTGTTAGTCAGTCATTCCCTTTCAGTTAGAGTTGAGGCAATCAACGAAGCCTACCCGGTTCTATAGTAAGTCAGCACCCAGGAGATATCGTAAGCAAGGGTTTAGAGTCATTCACTGTTGCTAGAGCTATTAATGGAAGCTAACCCTCTAGTTCCCCGGGATAAAATAGTTCTTGCCCTACCCTGTCTTCAGAAAGTAGTAAGCAAGCCTATGAGTCAGTCCGTCCGGTGCAATAGTCAGAATGAATCCCACGTGCTAGCAAAAGAGCAAAGGAAGCGCGAGACGAAGCAGCTAACCTATAGGAGTAGGAGTCAGCCTATGAGCCGAGGAGTCAGGGAAGAAGTTAGCCTCCCTTTAGACCATGGCCGCTAGGGACGAGAAGTCATTGACGCTTTCTAAGCAGGGAACAAGCAATGAAGACAGGACTCTATACCAGACCCGAGACTCGAGCAAAGCATGCCAATCTCTCGAGTGCAGCTGGATCCCTAATATGAATGAAAGTTCTCATTTGAAATCGGTCACTCAATCTTATCACGAAATCAATCTTCGAACGAAGTGTTCAACTCCCTAGGAATCGGGAGGGACAGGGGGAATCAGAGAGATTTGCAGCCTTCCTCGCAGCCACATCCGAACGCGATCCGGCCATCCATAAAAAGCGAGAGAAGTGATCTCCATTGCGAGTTGTAACCAACATGGGGATAGCGAGCAGAGATGCACGAGAGGAATGAGGAATTCTAGTAAGTTGGTCTCATTCTCGTTTTGTCAATTCTCTTCGTTGGTCATGAGAAATCAAAAGAAAAGGGCGAGATTGCGTCTTTGGAAGAGGTCGAAACATAAAGGTCAAGAAGAATCCTGAGTAGTTTCCTTAAATGAACGTAGCAGCGGTAAGGGAATCTAGCTCCTCACCTCTGACCTCTTATTTTGAACCTCCGCCATGCCAGCAATAACAATGGAATTCGAGAGATGGCAAGTCCATCCATTGACAAAGAGAATCCGGAATCAATAGAAATGGGAGTCGATTCCGTAATGAGGAAGGTCGCATTCAGAGACTTCTTTCAATACCATTATCGTTGTGGGCATCCCTACCAATCCCCATTCATTCATTTACTATGACTAAGAGAATCCAGCAGCAAGAGAGGTCGATACCTATTATACATCTTCCAGACCAGAATGCTATTAAAAAGTGCCGGAATCGTAAGGACCATCTCGACTTGAGTTCTCACTTGGCTTGCCCTGTTCGAAGTCATTCTCTTTTCAGCCTCCTTTCATTTTGTTTCGGATTCGATCCTTGCCTAGCGATCCGGCACCGGGCTCACAAGCACAAGCCTGGGGGACAGAGTGCTATAGGGGGCTATTGCTAAACATCCAGCCAGCTACATTTCTTTTTTTCCGTCTGTGGGTAAAGAACTAAAGGTAAGGAGCGGGTGGCCTTGCCTCTTTCTCACAAGAAAAATTCTTCTCTCGACTGGAACCGATCCCTGGTGTGCGCATACCTAAAGTGGTGTATGCGATGAACCGAACGTATGCTTCTCTAGGGGGATAGGGCTTCAATTCAATCATTCTCTCCGGCTTTTGAGAGAGTCCTTCGATTGACTTACTGAATGGAATGATGGAAAGGTGCGTAGCCGTCTGAGAAGGTATGCCGAGAATCTGCTACATTGGTCCACCCGGGCTTTATTTTAGGGTTGAAAAAACTAGGCAACGAGCCAATAGAATAGAAGTAGTTGAACTTTCCCTGGCTGTTCTATCATGAGTTTCATCCTTTTAGTCTTACTTTGAATTCCTCTCTGTCAACTAGAAGCAGTAAGACTTCGTTACATTAGCGGGGAGAGATTTTCTCGATGCTTTGAATAGCCCTACGTACTAGTTAATCATATTTGGCAACAAGAGAACAGCGAGAATACCATTAGCCTACTACTCACTCTACTGGCGGCGAGGAAAGCAATAGAAAAACCTCTTCTTCCTAAGAGTGATATTGATTCAATTCCAATCTCGTAATGAAAGACATTAAGGCTTGTTCACTATCGAAAGAAAGCTCTTTGATTGGATGATCTCAGTATTCCAGTACTGTGTTAAGAGGATCTCCCTATTGATCTATTAAATAACGATAGGTCTTGTCAGAGCCTTCTTCTTCTCTCCTTCCTTTCTTCTTCTTTTTCGCGCAAAAACAGAGATCGAAAACTCAGGAGAGGATTTAGCCTCCCGGTGGACTACAAGTTGAAAAATTTTTAATGGTGAGAAATCTAAAACCTTTTACTTTCTTTTATGATCAAGTTAGTGTGTTTTTTCTACGCACACTAGTGAAAGGCGCTCACGTAAAACACACGAACTGAACTAGAAAGAAAATACATTACGAGATGCTTTTCCGCATTCAGTTCTTGCGGAAGTAAGTGGAAGTGGATGTGGATTCGAACCACTTTCAAAAGGATTTACAGTCCTTTGCTCTAACCAGCTGAGCTACCCGAACCACTTTTCTTCTCTTATGAAATTTCGGAAAGATCACTCTTCCTTCCAATTCAATAACCCCGTGCTTGATGCAATAGAAGCTTGATGCAAAAACCCTTGCTCGAGATTGGCCAATCAGCCGCTCTTGGTCTTGTTCATGCAACTCTTGTTCACGTAAGCGGTGCTACCGTTGAATGTCCATCTTCGATTCATTTTGAAAAGAATCCCAGATCTGAGAAGGAAGAAAGAACTGTCCTTGTCATAGCCTGATTAAGAATAGAAGTCTCCGTTCCTAGCTTCTACTTTCATCGAGATTCGGTTGGTGTGAAGTAAAGTAAGGCAAAGAACTTCACTGCAAATAGCGTATATAAGAGAAAGAGTGGCTCGATCTGATGGGCCAGTCGCTGCGCTTTTCGGAGCTTAAACATAGACGAAGCTTCGCTGCTCCGCCTGCAGCAGCAGTTCCTTATTCGTTCATTCTTGAATAGGAGAGGCCTTCATCAATCAATCTTCAGTCACATTCCATCCCCAAGCACTTCATAACTTGCTTTGGTAAGATCGGCTCATTAACAAAAAAAATTGACTCATTTCACTGGATCAGCTACGACCGTTGCTAGGTTAGGGACAGCTCCGAAGAATGGAAGGAAGACGGATCAAAAGTACACATACAATTATATTCATCTATAGGGATAAAGTATTTAGCATGACCATACTATGGATCGAACTTTAACTCTTTCCGGCTGAGAAGAGCTTTTTTCAATTCATTTTTTCAGGTGAGCCAGATGCCGAGTCTACCTTTGCCAAGTCCCTCTTTCTAGGAGGATTTTTTCGCAGTAAGTTGCTTCTTAGTTCGACTCTGCCTCAGGTCAGTTGGTGAACTTTACTAAGTAAGTCACATTCCTACTTCAGTCTTCACGCCCCGGCTTCTGCTTTCGTTCGAGTGCTAGCTTCTCCTCATGCAGTGGTTAGGCAGGTAGAGTACGGTCCCGATGATCGAATGTTTTATTCCACTCGTCCCCGTGTCAGCTATTCCCTGAGGGCGAGACTCTTCATCTGATCTTGAGCAAGCAGCCGAACCGAACTCTTTCTCATCTGCTTCTGCTCTTGCTGTTGCCAATTAGAGAAGGTTTCCTTCAACTCTGCTGCATTGCCTTCTCATAAGGGTTCCTCCGCTCCCGGCTGGCCTATTAGGAAGGCCTCTCCTCTTTCTGGCCGGACCTCTTCTCGCCGAATCCCTAAGACATGACAGGGCAGGTGAGAACAACAGAGTTGGATCCCGAATCACTAAATAGTAAGGGTGCCCGGGCTCGGGACTTAGATTCTTCATCTTGGAATCGGGGGAAACAGAAGAGAATGCCGTGCGTGCTGTTCAAACTCGGACTTTTCCCGCGAGTTGGCTTGCTAGATGTCATCTCGGTTTCAGGGGCAGACTCTGATCCCTCTGGCCTTCACGCTATTGGGAAAGCGGGTTCACTCGTTGCCTCAGACCTTTCTAGGGCATGACCCCTACCCTAACAGAACGACTTGCCCTTCCATGCGTTAAGCTGGACAAAGCGCTTTCAGAAAGAGGACTGTACCGATTAGAAAGTTGCATTTTTCTCCTTCACATCGTCGGTCAACTCTGGGGACAGTGGATAGAGCTCGTCCCTATTTGACTGAAGAGGGTAGGGTTCGCTCCTATGACAAGTGCAGCTTGTTGACTGCCACAGACCGGCTTTCCTCAGTCGTTGACTGTGGCGAGGCTACCCCTCTATCAAGAGAAGAAGTTTTCCCGAATCAATGAGAGAGATCAATGTGCGAATTTCCTTTCCATTCTACCTCTTGAGAGAAATGCGCCTGACTCGATCGGTACCACTCCAACCTTTCTTGGGGCTAGCTATTGCCTTTTTTTAATAGTAGGAGTCGATACTCTTTCCAATTTAGATGGGTTTATCCGGATTGGCATCCTTAGCTCATTTTTTTGCTGTTTTCTAGCTGCGATACAGACAGATCGTCCGATATCAGTTCTCTCTCTAACCCGAAAATCATACGACTTGATCTGCCTTCCGCCTCGTCCGCCACTGCAAACGGGTTCACTAATTGCCCCTGGCCTCAGTCTGAGACTTGGCTTTGGGGGGACGCTTTGTCGAGTAGTCTCTTCCAAAGAACTATCCGCCAAATCAAAAAGCGTCTCGTATATAGGAGCTCGTCGATCTTCTTCTGGCTAGTGCCGTGCTGTCAAACATCAATATAATACAATATCGGGAATCTCTTTGACCTTCAATGTGTCTAGGGTAGGGACCTATCTTCTTCGTAGGGGCCCTTCTCTCTCCCCCGGAACTGCTTGTTATACATACCGCCAGCTCCCGGCGCTTCTGCTTTCTGCCATAGAGGTTTTCGGTTAAGAATGATCGAAATCAGACACGATAGAAGGTGGGTGACTAAATGCTCCCATTTCCTTTCTTGCCCGGTCAGCTCCTATCGTGGTTTTCTATTGTAAAAAGGCTTCTGAACCTACTGTCTTGGGTTGGGAAAGCGACTTTACTTTCCCTTCGTCATTGATTTGGTTGGTACGGCCACTTTGCTTGAAGCTGGAAACCAAAGGATTGAAGAAAAACATCGATTTGTCTCTAAGCTCCGGATGCTTCATTCCTGTGAATGGGATGGCACTTTCTCCCTCCGCTCATCTTGCTTTTTTTGAAATGGAGCTGCTCTGGCTTCCTGACCTGATGAATTCAATCAATAAGGGTTCGCTCTTGACCTGCGCCTCAGCTTGAGACATTGGCGCGAAACGAATAAGACCGGGACAGATGCTGCTTTTGACTCTGAGGCTTGATTCGCTTGACCTCAATGTCTCTCTTCTTGTTAGCGATCTTTTTATGCAATATGTTCTTCCCGCACCAGACCCGCTCGCTTTCTTGGGTTTAGGGTAAAGTTCCAGGTACAGGCAGGCAGATGCTACACGCTATCAGTCCAAGGAGCGAAGTCGGGTATTTTTTAGTTCCGGAATCTCCAGTGACAAGATCTGTCTTCTCTTTGGTGAACGAAATCTTCTTTCTTGGGAAAGGGAAGGAAAGCAGCGTCAAGAGACCTATACTTCCAAGCCAAGCGGGAAGCCCTAAAATAAGCCAAGTCCAAGTAAGCTGGTTGAAAGCCGACTGCAGCGGAAGATAAACCAAGAAAGCCAAACTAAGGTGTACCCGGGAGTAGGAAAGTGGACCCGCCCGGCTCAGTCCCGGAGTAGGAGCAGCTCTTGATCTTTCATCCGCATCTGCCCCGCTTTCTGTCCCTGTAACTGATGACTCAAGAAAAGGTCGCAAGTGAGCTGGAGGGGTAGTATAATATAATAGAGGTTCGGCCTACTCTGAAACTCGCTTATTCCTCTCTAACACTTTCTTCTGTCTAATTCCTTTCTAGCCGTTAGTTACCGGTCCGACTACCAAACTCTGTTTGCTCAATGAAAAGTTAAGGTAGTCTACCCGTATCGTCAAAGAAGATATCATGATGCTACCCTTTGCGAATGACGACAGTACGGGGATTTCGGCTTTTCAAAAGGGTGTGACATTGTAGGTTAGATTCCTACTTGTTTAAGGTCTATAGTGATATTATGTTAGAATGACAATGTTGTAGTTACAGTAGTCTGCCTATAGTCTTATTCATTGACGTAGATAACGAGATCACACTCTCGTTGACTACCTGCTTCTATCTAGTGCGACAGAGAATGCAAGCAAACAGAGTAGCCGCTGCCTCTTCTGAGAAAGATTGAAATGAAAGGATTGACAATGTGAAACTATGGAAGGAGATTGCTTCTTCTTTCCAGTGGACATCCTACATTCTACAGAGCGGATCCGCCGGAGCTACTATAAGAAAAAGTCAAAAAAAAGCCTATTTTACATCTTTTTACTGGTCGTAATACCCTGATCCAAAAGAGACCCGAAATTGCAGTTTTTGGCTAATGAAAGCTCCACGCTACGGACCTTTTCTTCATGGAGAGTGGAGACAGCTCTTCCTTCTATTCCCCATTCTCGATAGAGAGATGAGGGAAGGCAGCTCGACCGATGCATCTATTGATGTTACCTATGAATGCCTATTTGCTTGCTTTATTCCTTCATTCATGGAAAGCTTTATATCGTCCTTCTTTAACAAGACTTGTTACAAGTGATGAACCTTCCGCCTATTCGATTTTTCGGAAGAAGTTTTGTGACTAAAGAAGATCCGCCTACGAAAAGACTTCCTTTTCTACTACTACTCAACAGAACTAGACTCACGAACTGAGCTAGCCCCTCCTTAAGAAGGAAAGGTAGGAGCACTTTAACGACGAGATAGAAAAAAGAGAGACGGAAGCAGAGCAGCAAAACGGGCCTAGAACTTGAGAGACAACAAAAGAAAAGGAACAAACGAAGGCATAAAGAACTAGAGCAGGAAGACGAGTTTGAATATTTTTGTATAAACAGGTCTATTGGTTGGCTTTAGTAGATGGAGCTGAAGCAAGCACTCTGCATACTGTATGAAAGAGTCATTCGAGTAGAGACGTCAGCCAGTGGAGGTTCTGGCCTTGGTCCCTGGTCCAGTCGATGGGAAAGAATAAATGTTCAAGTCTTATTTCCGAGTGCGAGCTGCTTTCTGTGGAAGGGTCGATTTCGGGAAGGAAATAGAGGTCACAAGGTAAGGGACCGCTTTCTTCCTTTTATGCTTCCCTACGTGGAAAATGAATCAAACCAGTTCTCCCTCGACCTGCAGGTATTCTAAATGGTTATTGTTTATGCTCGTATAGCATAAAAATGATTCATTGGGAGGGACATGAGAAATCCACTTCGTACCTTTGCTTCGTCATCAAAGCCCCTTCGCTACTCCGAACTCTATCTGTATTGTACTATCTCTATTTTCTTTTAGAGTGCTACTTTTTGGAAAAAAAGCCGGTATTAAAATGAAATAAGTAAGTAGTAAGTAAGTGAAGTGGTGAATTGGCCATTGGAAAGGAGGAGCGGTTCGGGCCTACTCTTTAACTTTTAACTAAAAGCCGAAAGAAAGGAAAGGCCAAATATCGATAACTGAGAAAGATGGGATTCGGTCAACAAACAAAGGAAATGAAAACACTCCCCTCTTTCTGTCGAAAATGATGAAAACCAGATCGAACTCTAAAGTCAAGCCCTTCACTTTATTGTTCAAGCTCTTGAACATGGGTTGAGTTCATACATATTGAATGCTTTCCTATTCAACAAGACATACTACCAATTCCTTTGAAGCTACTACCACTATCAAAGCTGGCTTGCTTGTTTTGATTATCGGTTTTTTTGAAACCAGAGAAAGAAGATCCGGTTGGGCTTGCTAGCGATGGGAGATTTGTCACTGGAAGCCCTGCGCTGCACTCCAGTGTTGAATTTCTTGATCGACGAAACGAGTTATTGCTTTTAAGGGTTCTTGCTCGAGATGAGTTATTTCCATTTCATTTTTACGGAGGAAACGAACAGACTTTAATTGACGGAAATATATATTGATACGTTGAATCGAGTCCCGTTTTCTATTCCTATTGCTTTGGTTGGTCGTACTGTTGCCGATTTAGGGTGCTCCGCCTAATATGACTATCAAAAAACGGCCGGCTGAAAAAATACTTTTTATTACATATCTGGGGTTAGTACGCCTGAAACAAAAAGGTTCGTCGTACAATTTCGGCGATTAAAAAAATAAAAGAGTATATCCCTCTCCCTTAGTGTCTTTCCACTTCCGTTGTTCAGGAACAAACACTTCGCCTAATTTTTTAGAATCTTGGCCCGGTTTTTCCCCACTAACCAATTACGTTACGACCACTGAACAAACTTGGTTGACGAACATGGTTTATGCGCCGCTAATGTAGCGGCTTGTCGAGCATTTGACAAACTCACACCGTCCATTTCAAATGGGATTTGTCCCGTGGACACACGAGCAATCCAACCCGTAGGATTTCCTTTCCCTCTTCCCATTCTTACTTCTGTAGGTTTCCCGGTAATAGGGAGATCCGCGAGAACTCTTACCCATATCTTACCGTTTCTTCGGAATTGTCCGCTCATAGCACGATGGAATTGTCCGATTATAGCCCGACGCGCTGCTTCAATCGCTCGATATGAAAGACGACCAGCTTTACAACTTTTAGTGCCATATCTTCCAAAACCAAGTTTTGTACCGTCCGGTTTGCAACCCCTACTACATCTGCCTTTACGATATTTATTATATTTCGTACGTTTCGGATATAGCACGTCCCCCTTCTTTTTTACTATAAGAAATCCACACTTTGACACCTGAGATTCCGTAACGAGTAGATACTTCCGCAGGAGCATAATCGATTTTCTGGTTAAATACATTACGAGATGTTTTTCCATACTTTCCGCATTCAGTTCTAGCTATTTCTGCGCCTTTTAATCGACCTGAACAGCATATACGGATCCCCTCAACCCCTTTTTTCATTACTAATTGAATATCCTTCACTATTTTACTAAAAATGGAACGAAATGATCTTGTTTTGTTCCTCAGTTGAAAAGAGATGTCTTGAGCAATCGGAGAAGCACTTTGATAAACAGATTGGATCTTGACCGACTCAATTAAGGTATTAGTGTTTGTTCTATTAGACAACAAAGATTGCATTTTTTTTACTTCGTTTAAATAAGAGTTGTACCCGTACGGAATTCTTCTGTTTCTCAGTATGATCTCCATTATCATCTCTGTTCCCTTTATCAATTCTTCTATCCCACCTAGGTTTATTAATTTTTTTATCAATTCAATTACCTTATCCTTACCCATGAGGTAAAAACATTTTTTCTTTAATTGACCTAGGAGTTTTTTCCGGGCTTTCTCAAAAAAAAGGTTATTATACACCCCAACCCCATCCCTTAGAAAGAAAAAGGTAGCACCAAAGAAAGGAAAGAGCGAGATGGTGGTTTTTGTTGTTCCCGCGAAGCGAAGACCATTCGCTTGGCGAATGAAGTGGGTCAACCTCTTTTTGGCTTCGGCCAAACACTTTTTCTCGTTGGTCGAGCTTTCTACAAAAAAAGCGATGCGAGAACGTATTCTTTTATCTAAGCTTCTTCCATGTGCATTCGCTCTCCCCATCGTAGAGGGTTCAGCCACGCCCGGTGCCACGAAATGATTTAGAACTACGACGGGGTCGAAATGAATTTGGTTCTTTCTATTCAATAAGTATTGCATGACCGAATAATTAAAGGAGGGGCGCACTGCAGGGAGGGTCCTTTTAAGTAGATGACTCATGGGGTCGTCGGAGCGGGACTTCTTTTGGAAAAAGAACTTGAATAACTTCGTTTTTCTGAAAGAGTCGTCATTTTCTATCAGGAAAGCTATGTCATTTACAACCCCGGTGTATTTCGGATGCTTGAAGGCCCCGCTGACCCGAAGTGATTTAGAAAGATTCTTCTTTATCGATGGTGATCGGTCATGGTATCCATAGCGTTGCTTCTTTTTCGGCCAAATCCTGATTTCGTTTTGCTTCTCCCAGTCGTCGAGCCTGGTCGACTCGACTCTTTTCCCTGCCCCCCGGCCCTTCTCCTTTCCGGGTCTGGTTTTTTCGCGTCGTTTCAGTCGTCGTGGTCGACGAGGAAGAAAGAAATGAATGAATGTTCTTTTGGTAAAATGTATAATAATACACCTACCGAGACGAAAGCCAAAGGTGAGTCTCGTAGGTGGACGTATCGAACCGAAATAAGATCTCAGATTGACATCTTGATACACTGATTTACCATAATAATAAATAGAGTCAATGGTGACTCCGCTGTGGGAAGAGCCGCTTCTTTCTTGCGGGGGGCTTCCATTCACCAGCAAAGACTAAAAGTGCTCTCCGAACCGTGCTGGATAGTCACCCATCACACGGCTCTCAAACCTAACCTGTGGTGGATCCCGGGAGACAAAGTCAAAGCGCTTGATCCTTTGCCCCATACTTTGAGATGCTCCTCCCCGCCGATCAAGCAGCGACGCTGCTCGTGATAGGCTTAGCTTTAAGCCGCTATCGTTCGGTTCGGATAAGTCAAGTCCCTTCGGTCGGTTCGCTCAGGTGGTCTTCCCTTATCTTCCCTAACGTTCAGAGTTGTTCTGGTTTGAGAAAGGAGCACCGGCCGAGCGCCCTGAATGAATAAGCCCTATATATAATTAGTAAAGCCTAAACGTCCAAAACTAAAGCGCTAACGCGCCAACTATTATATAATTTTAATAATTAGAAAAGCAACCTTTCGCCTTTATTGATATAAAAGAAGCTTACTTACTAATAAAGCGGAAACAAGCACCTTCTTTCTCAAAGTCAAGTTTCGCGCTTGTTACTTTAGAAAGATTTCAGCTAGCGCGCTTTACTAATAACATAGAAAGTAAAGGCTCTTCTCCTTTTCTACGAATCTACAACTCTCTTCTCTTTACTGAGCGAGACTCCATCCATATCCCTTCCCTACTTGTGGGATATTATTACTCAATTTTCTATTCTATCATTTGTTTGACAGCTTAAACTAGGCTCCATTTTAGATAGGTTTTCGGTCTTAATCAAGATAGGTCAGGGGCGCGTCGGAACGTGGCTGCTTAGTCTCATCCGAGAGTCTAATCTCTTTGTACTGCTTTTTTTCAAAGAAAAAAAGAAAGAAGGGGGTCGATTTAGGCTCCTTCCCTTCCACTGCATAGCTACGCTACCTGGTACTACGAGCCCTCTGTCCCACACATCTATCCAGCTCGCGTGGTTCACCGGTTCCACCGAAAACTCTCATTTGTTGAAGCGGAGCATAGTGCGCTTTAGGCGCCGAGCGAGAAACGTCTCTTCTTTCGTTTCGGTTTATTCACTGATCTGAAACTTAGCACTTTTTTTCTTATTGATTCCAGGGGCGGCGGCGTTCTTGAATGAAGTCTATCCGAACCGAATTAGCACTTCTCAGATAAGGCTAGGCCTCTCCAGCTGAGCTAGGCGCCGGGGTCCTGGATGCGCTAGCGATCGGCGCATAGGGGGGTGGTTGCCCGGGTTTCTCGGCCTGGTACCCTGCACCTTGCGTTCATGATATCTACATTCAACTGTGCCCCGGAAACACGGTCGAAGCACTCCCGTCCAGTGTGCTTCTTTCACGACATGCTCTGGTTCCGGATGTTTTCCAGTGGTCTTCTAGCGTTAGAAGAAGTCGTGTCCGTCCCGGACATCTGCAACGTCCTCCCACGCTTTTTCTATTTTAAATAAAGGACAAACTGAAGGAAAAGACTGACCCATTCGGTGACTTTCGCGGTCGCCCTCACTGAACCGACTTGAATCTGAACTACGATTCAGATCAAGTCTTACCGAAATCGGATTTCCTTTTCGTGCCATATGCGCTTAGACTTTACTATTCCCTTTTTTCTTCCCGATTCAATATTAGTTCTCGAAAGTCTTCGTTTCCAATGGTATGCAATTTCTTATTTGAGAATTTTTATAAAGTATCTCGTATCTAGTTGCAGGGGGGCGTGGCCAAGAAGCAGCCAGCTGACTGCCCCCTTCCACTCGGCCTTTCTTCGCTGTGTGAAGAAGGTCTTAGTATGTATGGGCATTCTGGGCGGGTCGCAATAAGTCGCTGGTCGAAGGTTTGGACCAATCGCAATTCATCACCATTTTGCCTGCTTCTAATTGATGACTGGCTATTATATAAGTGTTGACCTAAGCCCCAGCACTGGGGCTCGGCTCCCGAACCGTACGTGAGCTGCCTCGTACGGCTCTTCCTAAGAACTTGAAGCCCCCTCTCTCTAAATAAAAAAATGCATTTACAAGACAAAAAAGACTTTTCAAAAAGCCTTTGCCCTCCTATTCAACGGGGCTATTAGAGAAGCTGCTTCGTTCCTTGACTTCTTTGCTCAGTCAAGCTTCCTTGTTCCTTAGTGTAGTCTCGGTCCATAGTTTAAGGCTCCGTTCCTTATAGCCTAGTCTATATCCACAGCTGACGGTGACTCCGTTCCGTACCGACGCCCTTCCCTTTGTAGACGGCTAAGTGACTTCGTAACCTTAACGTACTTATTTTCGTACTTTCTTTATTACTATATCATAGGCCTTCGTCGGGCTTTCATCCCTTCGCCTATAGGCGAAGGCTTGGCTTCGCTATCGCTCATGACTTGGTATAGAGTCCGTGTAGTCGTCGGCCTTCCCACCAGAAGGCCTATGATATAGTGGTCGGCCTTTCGAATGCCTCCTTCCTTACTTTTCTGAGAAGCTTTTTACGACTATAAAAGACAGGGGGCTGTTCCCCTTTGGAAACTTAGCTACACCGGTCACGACATGTTGTTTGTTGATATTTATTGAGGAGTTTAGCTGACTTAATCCATAAACCTATAAAGTCACCGTCACAGGTACTTTTTTGACTCTAAGGGAAGGGGGGAGGGAAGCGAAGCTTAGCGAGCTTTATAAGGCCGACCGCTACATAAGCCGCTGGCGGAAAAAGCTCGAAGAGCTTCCCTTCCCTTCATTCGTTGCTAAGCCAAGGTCCCAGGTCTCCGAGTCAGCCCGCGCTTTTTCGAAGAATCCTGCACCCATGGGCATACGGCCTGGCAGGCCTTCCCTTTCCGCCGGAGCTTCATGGGTGTTGCCCCGTTCCCCAATCAGATGTTTGGATGTGAGCTATACTCCGCGAGGAGCCAAACGGGCGTATGGCCTTGCCTTGCCATTTGACCTCTCTTCCCGTGTGACTAGGAATGCTCAGTGACAACCTCTCAATTGTCACCGCCTTGCCTCTCTTGCTACCGCGGTAGCACCTAGTGTGGTCAGCACCAATCGTGTTCGGGCAACGAAGCTTACACTCATTCACATTGGTTCATCCTGCTATACCCTGGGCCTTTTGCTCTTCTAACGTAAAAGGTGGCCGGCCTTTCGTCAAGGCTCAGGAATCCGCTGGACATCTCAGCGGCGGGATTGGATACCCGCATCCGATCGAAGTTCCATTTTAGTGCCCCCCTAAAGGAGAGCTTTTTCTAGGTGGGTCGCTTCGCGAGCTTAGGACCAACGGGTCACACGACAGGTGCACGATCGACTTTGCACGCTCTATCCTTCGGCCTTTCGCCTATCGGCTTGGCAGGCAAGCTACCTGGATCCGTCTTCGGCTTCGATTCGTTATGCTCAGCAGCTCCAACAAGCTCTAAAGTATCTTGCCGCCTAAAGCTCTGCCAAGAAAGCGCTGCTTTACGTTTGATCCTATGTGCCCAGAGAATGCTATGCGTTCTCCACTTTCGGACCTCGCAAAGAGAGAACGTGTTTTTTCCTCTGAGTTTTTCTCTCATTCGCGGAGCGAAGAAAGTGGGCTTTGCCCCAGCTACCGCTATCCTTGGGAAACCAAAAGAGCTACCGAAAGAAAGGGGTGCAGTCTCTCCCTTGGCCTTTGGAGAGGAGAGGGCAGAGAAGAAGACGTCCTTCGCGCAAGTTTTTTTGCTTCCTGCGCCTTTACTATACAAGGCGCTCTTCGAAAAAGGAGGCATTCTGGTAGGAGGGCCGACCACTACATAAGCCGCCATCAGTCCAGGAGCAGGAGAGAAGCAAGCTACCTTTCTTTGATCCACCTTCCCGGGCAGGGAAGAGAACGAAAATAGGCCGCGGATGGTGGTCGTGGTAGGTTCGAGGATCTGACGCGGCGGAGCGAACTCCTCTATCGTGTTCAATTTCCTCTGGTGGACCCCCTCGATCCATCGTACTGGAGCGATCCGAGAAGAACGATTAGGGTCATATTCTATCCTTTCTACAATGCCCATAGACGAAGTGCTTCGTTTCAGATCAATTCTTCGCTGCAATCGCTTCGATCCACCCCCTCGGTGAAAAACCGTAATACGCCCTGAAGAATTCCTACCAGCAGACTTCCCAGTACTCAAAGTGAATTGTCTAAGTGCTCTCCCCTCTTGGCTTTGTCTCATTGTCTATCTCGTAATCATTCGATTCCGTCCGACTCCTCCTGAATTGAATCGTCGTTGGTCCTTCGTTCTCTTTTAACTTTCTCTTACGATACGATAATCTATTGGAAGCAAGAAATTAAGACCTTTTTACGATGTTTAAGACCTTGCTCCTTTAGAATAGCTTCGCTCCTCTTGTCTTGAATAGCGTTGAAAGCGATAGGAAAGATAAAGAAATTCTTAGGTTAGGTTTAAGTTAAGACTAACCATTGAGCGAAGGAAGCTATCGGTATAGCTTCCGAGCGTATTCCTTCTTGTCTTCAAAGAATGCACGAGCAAGTCAAATGTCAAAAGAAATGGTGCTTTCAGTCTCATTTGATTCGAATCAAAATGAGCGAGTTCTCGTCTTAGGGAAGGGAATCTTTATTCACCAGGAACCACCACTGGATCAGGATTTTAAAAAGCTCTCTCTGAGCAGTTAAACAAAAGAAAGCACACTCGTCAACTATCCACCCTGCCCCATATATATTGATTTCTTTATATAGGAAAATAGAACATATATATCATCTTTCTATACGTTCGTTAACTTAACCAGTGGGGCTTCCCAACATCCAACAGAAGCGTTAGTTGATCGGTCTACTGAACCTGGCTTTTGAACTCGTCATTTTGAGCGCACTCGATTGACCTTAGCTTATGGTCTAGGCCTTACATTCGTCTTCGTCATCTCCGTCTCTGTCTCCAACTTCCGTCAACACAACATAAGAACGAGTCAAACAAGATATAGAAGAGCCCTCCTTCTATGAACTTCTTTATTGAATTGAATGTTTGGCGTCAAAGCTCGTGAAGGAAAAGTCACTCGCCCGTAAACCATCATGACACAAGGGAACGGAAAGCGCAATAGCAACCCATAAGATAAGCTTTACTAAACTAATAAGGGCATTCCATTGATAACGATAGAAAGAGCGATCCTCTTCGCCCGTTTCTTCTGAACGAAGTCAAACTCTAACTGTTTAAAGCCAGAACCCGATAATCCGCTTTTTGAAAGAAGACATTGTAGATGAAAAGGAATTGGAAGAGAGCGACCGGAAGATCTAAAACAGCTATATCCCGAGTCGCATTAGCACAAGCCACGAGCGAGCAGCAGGTTCGCGATTTCAAAGTTCGCCTTATTAGAAGTCAAAGCCCTAGAGCACGGAACTAGAAATCCTAGAAGTCAGTTGCACTTTTTCTTCCCGGAACACTGACTTAACCTTCAAGTTCAGATAGTGAGAGAGTGAAAAAGACGGCACAACGTTGACACACAGTTCATTTCTAAAGAAAGCATGTCACGAGTTTGGACAATTGCTCTCGGAGACCTGCTAGGCGGGATTCCGCTTTAGTTGCTGCCAAGGCTTTCAATGATAAGAAAGCAGGGGCGGAAAGAAAGCTTTTTCCTTTGCGCCGGGAGAGCTCTGACACATTCTCCTTAGAACAAGAAAGGATAGGACAATGGTGATACTAACCAGTCCCGCCATACAAGACAAATACAATAAGAGAAGGAACCCTATAACAATAAAGAAGATGTCCTAAAACCGCATACACATACCCTCGATACAAAGCAAGAAAGAAAGCAAACTCAGTCCTCGCCTCGGGTGAGCCAACAAGTCAAGCAAGAATCGACTTCACACACTAAGAAGATAATCATTATCTGAGAAAGAGCTTCCAATAGAAGTGTAAAAAAATAAGATGAAGGAGAATAGCCTCCTTTTTTCATACTACGACATTTCCTATGAGACGGATTTAGGACTGCTGGAAAGGCGGATACGATTTCTGCGGGTCGGGACTTTTTCAGTCTAAAGGAAAAAGCATGAACTCGCTACAAAAGAATTGAGAACGAGAACACAATCACAAAAGAGACGGAAAGAAAGCCTCAAAGAAAAGCCAATGCAACTTCTTTCTATGACGGATGGACCGACAGCCGGACAGAAGAGATATATCTATCTATCAAGTCTTCCGTGAGGACTAGAAAAGGTTAAGCTTTCTGTCTTCCGGGATTGAGGTATGGTAATTGTGTAGATAAGGATGCCTAGGGTATATGATTTAAATACCGGATTGGAAGACATCGACAGCTTCGCAAGCTAATTCCCTGCTTCGGGTTGAGAACTGGCTTAAACTAGCTAAAGAGGGGATTCCATCCTTACGAACTGCTTACCGAATGCTTACACAACCGGAAAAAGAGACCTTGGGTATTGGGCATACCTTTAACAGCTATATTCAAATCCGTGGTCGCTTAGGTCACGAACCGCAAGCAAGACTATTTCGAAGCAAACAGTTGCCTGTCCACTACGAGATTAGATAGAATGTCCAGGTAGCTCATCACACCTAAACAAGAGCTGAGGGCAGCTTCAGACTAACTAAGCCGGCATAAGTTCCCAGACTAGAGCCGCGCCAAAACCACACACATATGATGGCCTACCAGCACCATACGCGGCAGCAGAAGGGCAGCAACATTCGGAAGATAGTCAGCACTCACAGCAGTAGAAGGAGAGGGAGAGTCCGGCGAGCTGCTATTGGCTTGGATGTGAAAGCATTGGTTCTTCTTTTTTTAGCTTTTCTGCTTATCTCGTGAGCCGGTTAGCTAATGGAATAGACAGATGGATTGGTGGCAACAGAAGGACTTGATTACAGGTATCTGCCTCTCGGGGTTCTTTAGACCTGCAGATGGAGAAGGTTAAGAAGGCTTAGTTTCTTGCTTTGAACCTTCCACCGGCTTCGAGGCAAAGCCAGCGGTAGAGGGAGATATAGCTCGAATAAAACCAGAACATTCGTTCCCCAACGAGTTGATCTGAAGGCACTATAAGGAGGTTCATTAACCAATCATAAAGAGACCCGAAATACGAATTGAAGTGTTTTCAACCTTCGATGAGGAAAGTTTGTTTCGCTACTGGACTTCATTTAGGAAGTTTATAGTCTCGTAAAGATGATGAAATAGTCTAAAAGTTCTCCTAAGGTAGGTTTTCCATCGATTGAATAGGAGGAGTCGGGTGGTATCGTATATAAAGAGAGCTTTCATTTAGGAGTTCTCTTTCCGAAATTGCATAAGAGAAGAAAGGTCGGTTGGAAAGTAGTACGCCCGGTTCACCAGGTTCTACCACTGCAGGGCCCAATCATAGTCAAAAGAAGAGTTTGATCCTGGCTCAGAAGGAACGCTAGCTA